ACCGGGCGGATGACCCGGAGGATGGCCAGGGACATGGCCTGCTGGCCGTTGCCCTGGTGCTCGGCCAGTTCTAGCCCCAGGGTGATGAAGTAGGGCATGATGGCCACGATGTCGATGGTGTTCATGATGTTCTTGAAGAAGGCAGGTTTGCTTGGGCAGGCTAGGAAGCGCACCAGCAACTCAAATGAAAACCAGATGATGCAGAGCGTCTCTACAATGAAGAAGGGATCTGTGAACGGGTTGAGCTTCTTGGCGCGGACGGTTCCGTTCACCTGGAGGTTCATGTGCAGCTGCTGCTGGAGGAGCTGCTGCTGCTGCTGCTGCTGCTGCTGCTGCTGCTCGTCGAACGTCCTCGTCTCCTCCCTGAACTCTGGTAAAGTCTCCATGCAGAAAATGACAATGGAGATGAGGATCACCAGCACCGAGACGATGGCAATGCCTCGGGCCGGTCCAGAACTTTCTGGGTACTCGAACAAAAGCCAGACCTGCCGCTGGAACTCGTTGTCCGGCAGCGGTCGCTCTTCCTCCTTGATGAAGCCTTCGTCCTCCTTAAAGTTCTCGATCACTTCCTCACCCAGTTCATAAAATTTAATCTCCTCCATGAAAATGTCCACGGGGACATTGACGGGTCTCCGAAGCCGACCTCCGGACTGGTAGTAGTACAGGATGGCATCGAAACTGGGTCGGTTCCGGTCGAAGAAGTACTCGTTGCGCAGTGGGTCAAAGAAGCGCATCCTTTTACGCGGGTCACCCAGCAGGGTGTGGGGGAACTGGGCGAGCGTCTTGAGCTGCGTCTCGAAGCGCAGCCCGGAGATGTTGATCACCACGCGCTCGCAGCACTCCTGGTTCCCCGCTGTTCTCTCCGGGTCGTACGCATCGTGCGCGGACAGCGCGGCCAGTGCCACAGTCTCATCCAGGTTCTCACCGGGCACCACTGTCATTTTCACCCTCCACCCTCCACCCTCCTCCTCCGGGCTGACACTCTCTGCTCCTCGGTGCTCCTCACCACCGCGCGTCTTTGGAAACGTCCTCGTGCGTCTTCTGTCTCCGTCTGTGTCCAGGCGTCACATCTGCGCGTGCGACGGTCCAACTGGCATCTCTGCGCCCTCTGTCTTCCTCTCCTCCTCCTCCTCCTCCTCCTCCACCACCACTACCTCCTCCTTCACCTCCTCCTCCTCCTGCAACAACACGGTCACGGTCACGCACACACACCTCTTCACGTCCACGCAGTGCCGTCGTCTGGACTCCTGTGTGACACTCGCTGCATTTTAAATAGACAACATTCTTCGCTCTCCCTCCCAGAGCTGACGTGTGCGCGTGTGCGCGCTCCCTCTCTCATATGCTCCCTCTCTTACTGAGGACGAGGAGGTGGAGGAGGAGGAGGAGGAGGAGACAAAATGAGACACACACACACATATGCTCAGTATGAGCGTGATCCAAATACGCTTTAGGGAAATAAGACGAAATCACATCAGCGCGCTCCAAGTGCGCCATGCGTAACTGTCTCCAGGTGGCACGGGCTCAAGGTTACCACATGACCTGTTGTCTACAGTAACGCATGCTGACGTATAATTGTCCGCGTGCCACAGACAGAGATACAGATGAACGCGCTAACACTCCTAATACTGTGGCAAACAACAATGACCATCACATCGGGCTGTTTATGATGTTGGTACCTGTGGTGTCTCACTGCCGCGTCCTCCTCCTCCAGACACTGTCCTGTCCTCCAGGCCGCCACCACAGACACAGACCGCAAAGTCACGCAGCAGCAGCAGCCACAGCCACCACCCCTGACGTTTCCACATCAGGATCAAGATCATGTCTGTGCTGCTGCTGCGGCTGCTGCTGCTGCTGCTGCAGGAGGATCTCGGGACTATTTTCTCTTCTTTTCTCCCTTGAGAATGTTTCCAAATAGTTAAAGGACAACACTGTGCAACAAGTAGGAAACAAACACAGACACAGAGGTGGACCATGGAAATAAAGCAGGGTTTCTGGGCTGCAGTGACGCGTTTCCTAAAATAGCGAAATATCTCCCAGGGCCCTCAGGAAAAAAAACGTTCTTTTCCCATGGAATGACCCCAGGGAGCAGCAAGAGGAGAAGGAGGAGGAGGGGAAAGGAGAGGAGAGGAAGACGAAAAAAAAAAAAGCACATCTGTATAGTAAAGAATTTAGTGGTGACAAAGTAATGAAGAAAATACTTCAGAGATTCACCACATGTGGAACCTCAACATATTTTAATCGTACTCTCATACAGGAGGTGTTTGGAGTGATGAGATGAAAACTGTGATCAATTAACTTAACTCAAAGTAAGGTCTAAATATTGGTTAATTAACTTCAACTAACTCAAAGTAAGGTCTAAATATTGGTCATTGTGGTCTATACATTTTCATGTCATCTGCATAAAGGATTTTTTTTTTTAATCAGATAAAAAGTGGATATGTAGTTTGAAACCAGCAATTCTAGCTGCAGTACCACTACTGGTCAACAGGGCTGTCTCTAAAAGATATGCCAATGCTTGTTATGCAGTTTTGTCATTACATTTTTGAAGTGGCGAGTTTTGTGCTATTTCTTTGACGGATATTTTCTAGAGAACGAAAAAACAAAGCTGCGTTTCAGTGTCACTCCAAATCTTTTCTTCCCTTCTGTATCTGCAGTTTTACTCTGGGACGGAAACACGTCTGTCGCCGGACAACCGGAGTTGTTGTCAACCTACTGCACTCTAATACTAGCATCCTTAAGGTCTCCAGTCTCAGATATTATGTGTCAGTTTGTTGTGTGTGTGAATGATCATCAGCTGTGGGAACTCTGGGCTTCAGGGTTTGTTTTTGGACATGAGTGTTTGTTCATGGTGAGAGGTTCACTGACAGTCAGACATGTCAGCCCTGCTGGGATTTCCAGGGTCAGACTCGGGTCGTGTTCATGACCGCCGCGCACTTTAAATACATGGTAGTGCGTGGAGGAGATTTCCCACTCCTAAAATATATCTGGTGTCATTATGATAAACGATCATCATCTTCTTCTTCTTCTTCTTCTCTTTTTTTAATCTGTGTGTTTTGGGACCATGAGACTTTCTGATGTTGAACATGATGATGTAACACATTCCTGGGGATGGGTTTCCTTTCTTGATCCTTATCTTGAACCATTTCGTGTACAGAGGTGGAAAAAGTACTAAAAAGTATTTACTTACTTGCTAAAAGTAAGTAAAGTAAAGTAATAGTACCCATCTAAACCTACTCGAGTAAAAGTAAAAATATACTTCTCCCGGCCGCCACCACAGACACAGACCGCAAAGTCACGCAGCAGCAGCAGCAACAGCCAC